GACAGTCAGGTGAGAATTGGGTGAAATCCTTATTTTTTTAGAATTCAACACTAACAGGGCAGATGTTGGATGAATGCAACAGATATACAGTAGCTAAAGACGGACCTTAGATAAGCATCATAAAGCATTTAAAACAAAACCAAAACAATGTGGTTTATAATTTTCTTTGTCCATGTTTGCATTTTAATATTTACATTTGACTGTTTACACAAGTAATTTGAAAATAAGCTAGTGCCACAACACAAATACACAACAGTAGAGTGGGCATAGTAAACAATCACCTAATGACAATCATACTATGATATTATAAACAGATCGGATATTTGAGACAAAAAAACATAGTAAAAAATAAACCAAATAATTCACATGCTAAAGGTAATTTCTATGTAGATTATTTGATAAATCCTTAATGTCTGTGAGTCCAGTCCAAACATGATATTGTTTTTTTCAGACAGAAACCAAATTTATTTTCAGTAAATACTTAAAAAATATTCTAACCTTCACTTGTCCGTCGAAGGCAATTATTTTTAAATTGCATCTCTTCCATTTTACCTTGTATAACCTGTTCTTGTCTGAGGACAAATACTGGTACATTTGTCCGTTTGAACCGCCGTCCTCGCGAGAGTTTCCACGAGAGTTTGATTCGGCTCAAGTTGTTGGTCTAAACATACTGCAGGGGCAGTTTAGTGCGTGTGAACCCCGATCATTCAGTCATTAAACAAAAACTAGTCTGTAAGTGTAATCATTTCGTCTTTTCAAAATGTGTGACGGCTGTCAAACGCGTGTTGTGTTTCCAGTTAATGGCTTCTTACATGAAATAACAGACAGCAACTATGCAATGCTGCATAAATCCACTAGAGGGTAGTCTAAGTCAGTCATCCCAATAAACTGAATGTTTGACCTTTAGAGTACAGATCCTTCTCAAAAAATTAGCATATTGTGATAAAGTTCATTAATTTCCATAATGTAATGATAAAAATTAAACTGTCATATATTTTAGATTCATTGCACACCAACTGAAATATTACAGGTGTTTTATCATTTTAATACTGATGATTTTGGCATACAGCTCATGAAAACCCAAAGTTCCTATCTCAAAAAATTTGCATATTTCAGCCGACCAATAAAAGAAAAGTGCTTTAATACCAAAAAAGTCAACCTTCAAATAATTATGTTCAGTTATGCACTCAATACTTGGTCGGGAATCCTTTTGCAGAAATGACTGCTTCAATGCGGCGTAGCATGGAGGCAATCAGCCTGTGGCACTGCTGAGGTGTTATGGAGGCCCAGGATGCTTCGATAGCGGCCTTAAGCTCATCCAGAGTTTTGGGTCTTGCATCTCTCAAATTTCTCTTCACAATATACCACAGATTCTCTATGAGGTTCAGGTCAGGAGAGTTGGCAGGCCATTTGAGCACAGTAATACCATGGTCAGTAATACCAGTGGTTTTGGCACTGTGAGCAGGTGCCAGGTTGTGCTGAAAAATTAAATCTTCATCTCATAGAGCTTTTCAGCAGATGGAAGCATGAAGTGCTCCAAAATCCCCTGTGTTTTATCAAGGACCTTGCCCTTGATAAAACACAGTGGACCAACACCAGCAGCTGACATGGCTCCGCAGACCATCACCGACTGTGGGTACTTGACACTGGACTTCTGGCATTTCCTGCTCCCCAGTCTTCCTCCAGACTCTGGCACCTTGATTTCTGAATGACATGCAAAACTTGCTTTCATCCGAAAAAAGTACCACTGAGCAACAGTCCAGTGCTGCTTCTCTGTAGCCCAGGTCAGGCGCTTCTGCCGCTGTTTCTGGTTCAAAAGTGGCTTGACCTGGGGAATGAGGGACCTGTAGCCCCTTTCCTACACACGCCTGTGCACAGTGGCTCTGGATGTTTCTACTCCAGACTCAGTCCACTGCTTCCCCCAAGGTCTGGAATCGGCCCTTCTCCACAATCTTCCTCAGGGTCCGGTCACTTCTTCTCATTGTGCAGCGTTTTCTGCCACACTTTTTCCTTCCCACAGAGGTGCCTTGATACAGCACTCTGGGAACAGCCTATTCGTTCAGAAATTTCTTTCTGTGTCTTACCCTCTTGCTTGAGGGTGTCAATGATGGCCTTCTGGACAGCAGTCAGGTCAGCAGTCTGACCCATGATGGCGGTTTTGAGTAATGAACCAGGCTGGGAGTTTTTAAAAGCCTCAGGAATCTTTTGCAGGTGTTTAGAGTTACTTTGTTGATTCAGATGATGAGGTTAATTGCTCGTTCAGAGAACCTTTTCATGATATGCTAATTTTTTGAGACAGGGATTTTGGGTTTTCATGAGCTGTATGCCAAAATCATCAGTATTAAAACCTGAAATATTTCAGTTGGTGTGCAATAAATCTAAAATATATGGCAGTTTAATTTTTATTATTAGATTATGGAAAATAATGAACTTTATCACAATATGTAAATTTTTTTGAGAAGGACCTGTGCATGTCGGATTGACAGCAACGATCTTGCAGCAGTAACCATGCTTTCAAAAAAATCATAGTAATGTGAGGATGTGTAGCTGAGTTGAATCTTGTCACAGACTGAAAACTAAAGCTGTGGCAAATGATCTTTGGAGGTTTGCAACGTTGACCAGTTAGAAAAGATAATTTGAAAAAATAAATCAGAGTCATAACTTTGGCTCCAATTTTAGGAGAAACATTAAGATTTGTATTTTTATTTTTTTTCACTCATCACAGTATGGGGAAAAATGTTTCCTTAACATCAGAGTTGGACCGAAACAGCTTCACCACAAGTTTTAAAGATATGGTTTTGGCTCCAAATGGTAGAAACGATTGTGCTCCAATAAGTACGACCCTCTGCCTAAAGTTAAGTGCATATGGGCAACACCTGGAGCTTGTCAGATGCAGACCACTTCCAAAATGCCCACAGGAACAGACTGTTCTTAAAGCCCATGTTGAAAGTTGATTATTTGCTATATTCCTCTCACGCAAGACCTGGAGAAAATTAGCATAAATGCGGATCAGTTGGACGAACCACTGTGCTTTTGTTTGCCTCTATGAAAGATGAAAGCCACAAAAAAAAAAAAAACGTTTTAAAATTTTATTTTCTTGCAACACATCTCCCATTAATTTGTTTGAGAACATTTTTTTCCAAATTCAAGAAATATGTGGATGAGACCGAATGTTTGCTAAAGGAGATTTTTGTAAATCCATGATGCCCATCCTCTTCACTTATGTTGGTGACAAGATCAACCTGGGTCCTTATTCAGTGCAGTCTGTCAATGTTTCAGCTCTTTTACATTTTGTATTGCAAATAGACACATACAATATGTGTTTATTATATGGACACATAATAGGTGGCTGATTTCTTGTAGCTATTTCTGACTGAGATCAACCAAAACCATCTTCTTTGAGTCATATTTACATCTCATGGAATTAACAAACTAAAGATTTTTAGACAATGATCAACTTGAGAGCTTCAGTTTTATTCAACATTAGTAATGGTTAAGAGTGTTATAACCTGTGGCACTTACAGTACTTGGTCAAATGCAATTGTGCCTCAGCACGTGTGATCCATGGATCCTTTCCCCCTACTAAATACTCACAATAAATGTTGAGTTTTCAGGAGATTATACAATTGCAATTAAAGATTAGATAATTGCAAGGCTCCTTTTTTGCTGATATTTGTGAAGGTTGATGTGTAGAAAAAGTAACATTTCTATAAAACTCTATTCCCCCTGGATTTGACATTTTCACCATCTTCTAAGCGGTTTTACATTCCCAGCAATAAGGAATGCTGTTGAGCCAACAGGGACAATAATAAATCACAGTAAACAGCTTACACATATTTGGCTCTGTCTGAGAAATACTAAAAGTCCCCAAGGATGACAGTTCAGCAGCGTGCATTGGTGGAATTTTAAACAACTGCAATGGGCTTTATAGGGGGTGCTTAAACAGTGATGAAATGTAAAATATTTCAGATATTTAGAAAAAAAAACCCAAATCAATTCAAGCTGGAATTGTAAATGAAATATCTTTTATATTCAGAACATAATTTTGATGTATGTTCACATAAAAAAATAAAAACTACTGCAGTAATGCAAGTTAACTGACATGAAAGGCCTCAACAGAGAGAAGACCAGCTAAGGCTAACCTGAGCTCTGCAGCTCCTTCAGCATGGTCTATATTTGTGGATGACTAGAGGCGGGTTCTCGTCTATGCCCTATTCACAACAAGAACTCATGCAGTGTTTTCATGCAAGAACAAAACACATTTCTTCTATCAATATGGCAGAGAGAAAGAACATTGACAAATACCATACACTGATTATTTAGTGAATGAGTCTCTGTGTAAGGCTTTGCTGCTGAGCCAACACTTCATAATTCCATTTCCTGGAAGTCAACAAATCATTGAAGATTAACTGTGTGCAAACATCCGTTCAGTGTGGGCAAATCATCTGGGGTTCTGCAAGTCTATCGGCTGTTGCATCAGTTTAAATCATTTCTGCTCACGTCGGACAGATTCGTCACATTTCAGTGATATTGGCCTTCGGAAATCTGACCTCATAATTCCCTGGATCCGCCAAGCTCAGAACATCAGAGCTTTGGGAACGATAATAACCCACTCCTCCCAAAACCACATTACAGAGCTTTGACACAAGTCATTGTGTTGAAACAATGTGTGGGCTGCTCACAAGCTATAGACAACAAAAGGAAAATTTGGAGAGCATCATCTTTGTTTGTGGCTGGCCTGGATCGGGTGTGTCAGACTGAGCAATCGCATCTAATAAGAGCATGAACTCAGTGGCTCTTGTGCCAGGGATCAGCTGTGAATGTGTAGTCAGGAGCTGAACTTCAGAAGGAGCACCAGCACAAGAAATGTAAAAATCTGTTTGTCAATCATGTGATCAGCACTATCTTCTTATCAACACTTATTTTGTAGGATGCATTGAAAGAAACTGACGGGTGATATTAGGCAGGAGCAGTAATCAAGCTTTCCATAAACTTTAGCATAAGAGTTAAAATCGTTTATTGGCGGCAGCAACAGAAGAGTAGACAAAGGCATGCTGAGCTAAACAGACAGCAGAGTGAGCAGTCAAACATTATAAGAAACCCCCATAAACTCAACATAAACCAACCTGATCAGCACTGTTTTAATCTGATTGTTGGAGAGCAACTATGCCCAAAAAAATCTCTCTCTCTCTTTTAAACAAAAAAAAAAACAACAACTTTGGACTGTTTAACACAAAACCAGAATATACTTGTGCCACTGACGTCATGCTGTTTCATGCCTTGGCAGCAGGCATATGTATAATAATATACCAAAAGGACCCATTCGATCTCTGTAAAAAAAAAAAAAAAAAACAACAATAAAACAAAACAAAACTGTGAAACAAGGTTTTTATATATGATTCAAAGACAATGACAAAATAATACAAATTAAACATAAAACTACTGTCTCCCAGAAGTCATTAATCACTTGTAATTCTTATCTACATCTTATCTAGGTGCACATCTGGACCAACCTCTATCAAGCACTTCTGACAGCTTACAATCATCTAAGAAAGTCTCACACATTAACTCCATAAGGTGTTTTAATTAAACAGCTTCTACCCCCCCAAGGTGAAGAACTGCTGTGGCTCAATTACAAACAGTGACAGGAGAATGAAAGGCGTTCTGCTTTGTGTTGTTCAAGTGACATTCATGCATCTCACAAAAGCAACACACGACCTAAGAAAGAATGCTTTTAAACTTGTGTTTCACAAATAGACCTTTAAATTTGAACTTTATATTGGCAGTATAGATGTCTTTGATCTCTTGTGTTTTATGGGAACTGATAAAATATTTTATCAGTTCAAGGGATTGCTGATTTTTACAGTGTTTTAGCTTTTCATCAGTTACTCTGAAAGTCTGTGCTTTACATGTTTTATTTTTCAAGAACTATTTTATATTAGGAATTATTGCTGCCCATGAACTACCATGTTTCTTCTTATGACTAGTTATAGACTTTTATATGAGCAGCAGTCTTATGCGAATGTGACGTTGGAAGGGTTTGCTTTTGTCTCGACGTGGCTCTAGTTTTACAGGGTAAGATATTGACTGGTCGTGATCCTTCAACAGAACCCAACTTCAAAAATCTGAATTGATCCTTCAAGGTGGAATAAAGTCATTACAACTATCTACACACATGAACCACTTTGGGGTACAACACCTCATCGGTCCTAGGTTGAAACCCGTCAGCATTCAGCAAGGTGTTATAACCAATCATCAGAGATTTGTACAATTAGCATCAAAGCATTAAGTTACTGCAGATTTGTAGGCTGGTGCAAATCTTCTGCCACGTCTTAAAGGTGCTCCCTTGGTTTACGATGTGAACTTCTTGTCATATGAAACCAGTTGAGATTTGTGACATGGTGCATCATCCTGCTGGAGGTAATCATCAGAGGATAAGTTGCTGTGGTCATATAGGTATGGAAATGGTCGGCACAATACTCAAGCAAGCTGTGGTATGAAAACAGTGCTCAGTTGGGGCCCATAGTTGCACCAGCAGCCTGAAACCTTGATACAAGGCAGATTGAATTTTTGTGTCTTGCTGTTTTATTCAGCTGGGTTTGTGGGTCAAAGTCACATGTTTTCACTTATTTTGTTATTTAAAATTGCCTCTCAATTACTAAATATGTTTTAAATATATCAAAAACAACAGCTTAGGAGAGAAAATCTTTAAATATTTTATTGTTGCATTGTTTTGCTTAATATATGCAAACCTGCTGTTTTAACATTAAGCACCAAATACAGTGGGAAAATAAGTATTGATCATGTTAACATTTTTCTCAGTAAGTGTTTCTAAGGGTCCTTTTAGCATGCCATTGAATTGACACCAGATGTCATTAGCCACCCAAGTAATTCACATACAAAAGCAAAGCCAAACAAATAAGCCCACAAATTAAGTTATGTGTAATAAAATGGAATGAAATGGGAAATTAACTTTGAAAAGTAGGAAAAGAAGCTGCACAGAGCCACAGGGAGCCAGGAAACCAGTGAAATCAGCAAGCATTGAGAAAAAACAGTGCTTTCTAACAGTGCCAGTTAATATCCTGCTGGTGTAGTTGATTAAAAAAAAATGTTTCTCATTACCAAGGATGCCGTGATGGATAAGGGCAAAGAGCTCTCTCAAGACTTTTGCAACCCAATTGTTGCCCAACAAACTGATGCTATTGGTTGCAGATATATTTATAAACTTTTTAATGTTCCACAGTGGAGTAATTTTAGTGTAAGTCATACATTACCAAGTGGTCCTTGGAAGGTTAATGCCAGATGTGTCACTGAAATATTCAGGAGAGTTGTACAAGAGCAAATTACCACTAACGGAGAACTTCAGAAACTCCAGCAATTAGCAAGTACAAATTTCACATGAAACCTACAAATAATGCACTCAACAGTCATGACTTTCATGCAGACTAAGTGCGCTAGGCTCCATTATAAAAAAGACAAAAAAAAAATGCTGAAGCTCGTTTAAAATTTGCTGTGGATCTTTTGTAAAACACAATGAAACCTTGGGAGAAAAGGATCTGGCCACATGAGACCAAAACATAACACTTTGATTGTCCAAACATCATGTTTGGGCAAGTGGAACTTCACTTGAACCCAATTAAAATCCATTGAAAATCCATTGAAAAACAGAGGATCACAGTATGTGAAAGAGGAATTTATGGACTAATTAGTTTGAATTTCATTTTATGTTGTGTTGTTCCTGACATCTGGTGTGAATTTAATATCAATGGGCTCTTTAGGAATACATGAACTGAGAGAAAACATTCACATGTTCGACATCTATATTCCCTCTTGTATATTTACAGCTTGACACCTCCACAAATCCTTCAGTTCCTCCATTCATTCCACTTGATTTCCACAGAGGCCAGTAAGACACCTTTTAGTTCAAATACGTATAGTCAGTTGACAGTAATGCATAATGCTACATAAGAAGTGCAATATCTCAAAGTTCAGCTTTGTCAAAGCAAAATATCTCAAATTTGGCACTGATATTTTCATGTCCCACAAGTCACTTTGGATAAAAAAAGAAGCTCTCAAGTTGAAAGGACACCAGGCCCAAAGGTTTTTATGTTTACTCCATTACAAACTCAGGTTTCCTGGAAGCGTTCTGTTCATTAGTAGTAGTGCACTCTTCCAATAGTCCCTGTTCCCGTCCCCAGGATGTCAGGCTGGCCATTCCTCCAGATCTCCCGGATGATCCGTTCTCTCTCCTCCAGCCTCTGTGCGCGCTCCAGCTCCTCAGCTGACGTAAAAACGTTCACACTCAGAGTGCCGTCTGACTGGCTGGTATGATTCCCAACAGGGATTTCTGTGATGGGCAATGGAACAGAGGCCTCTCCTTCATCCCCTTCCTCATCCTCGTCATCATCGCTTTCCTCGTCTTCCACGCTGACGTCTTTTAAGGGGTTCTTTTCAGGCGTGGGGGGAGCGATCCTGGTCCGCGGCTTACAGGATATGCGGATCACCAAGAGGCAGAGGGTCAACACCAGGCCGAAACACACTCCGAGGACAAAGTAAAGCCCAAAGCTCTCCGGGTTGGCTGCAGAGGAGACACATACAGAGCATGATTTCCCAAGTAGAGTGTTTTACATGCTGAACTTTGCTCCTGTGTTCTGTGCTGTGACTTACCTTTGATGTGTGCAAAAGCTGCAATGCTGTTGCTAAGGAGATCCATTTCTTTTTTCTTAACGTCCATTTTTTTTTTTGCCTTCAGTTTTTCAAACCTGAAGAACAACAAACATAAAACACAAGATATTTATTCTGAATCTGTAATATAATCTGACTTAAATCACCTGGACTCCTTCAGGTGATTTCCTAATCCCTCCTCCCCTAGACCTGCATTCTGTTCAATGCCTAAGTGCAAACCCACGACTTCTCTGGGCTGGGTGGTGTGAGACCTCCAAGTCTGTGGCTTCGTGTGGTATCACTGTAATATATTTAGGGGAATTGTTTCTGAACCATGGCTCTTATTCAATGCCTTCCAAAAGTATTCATGCACCTTGAACTTTTCCAGTTTCACGAACAAACTTCACTGCATTTCATCAAATGGAAAGAAACCATTGTGGTTTCCATGACCTTTTTTAACAACAAAGAAAATAAATAATTTAATCTTCTTTCTGCCTCACTATTGTGCATTGCTTTGTGTTGGCCTAGCACTTAACATTCCCCCAAAATGCAGTGCAATTTATGACTGTAGTGGGACAAAATGTACAAAAGATCCAATGACTTTCAAAACATAGTAAATCAGGTAAAGTTCATCCTTCCAAGTGGTCAGACAGATCTCCTACGTATCAGATAAGACTCCAAGATGAATTAGAAAAGAAAACGATGCATGTCGTATTGTTTGGAGGTTGTGTCCCTGACATTCAAGTGGTCTATCCTTCCTGTATCCTTTCAGTCTGGCGAGCTCTATTGTGTTTGTGTCCATTCATTGCGTGCTCTCGTGACTCTTAGCGCTCTTTAGGAAGTCTTCATTCCTAAAGAAAAAGATTCACAAAGAAGCCATGGAGTAGTGAAGGTTCATTCTCTCTTGAAGCACAAAATTTAACGTCCAGCAATCCTGGTCTGGTGTTTTGTAGGGAGTAGCTTTTGTCCTTTCAAAAAATCACAAGGTTTGTTATGTTCGCCATCATTGTGTATCATCATTTTGAAAGTGGGACTATTCCTTGATTTCTTCACTCAGTAGCACTTTGCACGTTGGTTCATTCTGTGCTGTTACTTGACGTTGATGTGTACAGAAGCTGCGATGCCGTTGAACAACAGCAACAACAAAACCTCACTGATTTAATCAGATACAAAGCCTCTAAAATGCAAATAAAATCAGTTTTTAGTGTTGCTGTCTGTTTTAAACTTGCAGCATCTATACTGGATTTTCAGGTTTGGGGAAGGTGAGAAACTATTGATTTTTCTATTTGAAATTTTGACTTTGTCTATTTTTTCAAAAAGGAGCCTTGAATTTATTCCTTAGTAAGAAATGAATGCAAATTTTTATACTTTTTTAAAAAAAATGTTTGAGTAACAGAGCTTTAAGTCAAACCACATGTCTTGACGGTGCGTCAATCAAATGTCCTTAAATTGCACAAACCAAGTGTTTGCGTTTGCTTTCAACTCTTAATTAAAAACTCTGAGAACTTCAGTGCTTGATCGCTCTCATTATTTAGCCATTCCTGGGAATTATATTACACTCAGCCTTATTTGTTGATGTATTCTGGAAAATAAAGGAATTTAAACACCAAACCACATTTGTAAACCATGTGTAATCTGGTCGACTAATGAACTAAAAGCCATGGCAAGAATTCCACAGCAAAAGCAAACCTATTTACACATTAGAGTTCAGTTTAAAAATGAAACTCACCACAAAACGGAACCCTAAAGAAATTCTTCAGTTGCGACTCATAATGCAAAGCGAGGCAGCAGTGGTCTCGGTCCGTTCACTCTCTCCCTTGCCGTTGAATCGGGGCCCTATGATCTTTGGTCTTCAGGCTAAACAGTTCATTTGGCCACCCTGAGATGAGAACAAACACAGACACACACACACACACACAGACGTCAAGCTACATTAGCAACAAACTCACTGAGGCATCTGCAATGCAAACATGGACAGGGCCTTTGCAGAGTATGCTGCCCAGAATGAGACTGGAGGAAAATCTGCTGATTTCTGGTGTTTGAGTTACTTTTATGAAGCATGATATGCACAAAAACTTCAAATTCTTTCAGAGAACTGCATCTGGGTTTGTCAATTTATTCCATTTATTTATTTATTTTTATCCTTAATTTAAAGTGTCACTACTCACTACAATTACTGCAATTACTTATTGCACTGTAACAGACGAATCCTTTCTTGCTGCTCAATACTGCAGCATCTTGAACATGCTACAGTTCACCATGTTCACAATAAAACTGTCTGTCATTATATCTTATGGAACAGTATAAACATAGAACTGATTTTAATAAAATGTCAAGGACACATTATTGGCAAATGCTATCCCTAGAATGGTTTGGATCAATATCAGAGCAAAATAAAATCCAGATCAGGACGCTGTTAGTAAAAGCTACATAACATGGTGCGTATCACCAGGTGGAGGATGCTGTGAAATATGCTGAGCTGTGTATTTTTTAACCTATACTCCTGTTTAGGAAACACTCCTCTGCCCTGCCAGCTGCTGTTGGTTTAGGAGAGACCCTTTGCTTTCCTGAGCTGATTTTGATCTTGCTGACTCTCCACACAGTGCCTGAGTGAGACAGTGTTTGGGGAGTGAGAGGGTGAGAAACAGAGCAGCCACTGTGCCAACATGTTTTCCAAGTCACCCAACCCCCCCTCCCCCAACGCTGATGGGAGGAACACGGAGACCTTTTGTTTCGCCACTGAACGGTTGGGACATACCTGGACAAAGTCTTTTGAGCATTTTTCATTTTATGTCACATTTAAAAAATTACGATGCTCATCTCCACCCTCCTTTATAGTTTATTTCATTCATTGTTATCAAAAGCAGATTTTGAATTGATTGTTTTTTTTGTTTTTGTTTTTTGTCATAATCCTTCTTGTTAAGGTTAAGTGAAATTATTGGACACCTGTAGTACCTCATATGGCCTCTTCTCGCACAGGAATTCAACCAAATTTAGCTTGACCACACAGGAGGAGCTTCTATCAGTGGGTAATAACAAATGGATACCTGCTTATAGCTTGTCAAGACCTTTACTAGCTAAGTTGTTTTCTTCCCAGACCAGGGAATTATTAACAGAGTCAATCTCTTTCCAAGCAGCATGTTTAATATCCTATGACTCAACCTTCACTCATTTTTTCCAAGTGTTTATTTTACCATTTAAGACCTTGCCCTACCTTGCAGACTTAAAATTAAGGCGTTCTCTTTCACTAATGGTCATGCCTAAGTGACTTGATGAATGTTTTTGTTATATTATGTTTTGATTATTAAATCTGGTAAATGCTATGAAGAAAAATAATAGTCCTGCAGGGATTTTAAGACAGAAACATAGGCTTATGTAGATTTAAAAATACAAACTACAGCTAAGCAAACAACTATTTATAACTGTGCATGTTAGGTTATATAAAAACGGGAGGATTCTGAATTGTTCTCAAATTTTACGACTTTTAGCACATTTTTGGTTTTGAATATAATGAAACGTAAATAGAAAGAGGAGTGGAAACATGATTTTCCAATTACCTGGTCAAACGTGCAGCAACACATGCTTTCGTGCAGCAACGTCCTGTGACGATAAAGATTTTTTTTTTTTTTTTTTCCCTGCTAGCTTATCTTCTGCTCTTTCCTGATTTCACATCCGCAGGTCAAACACAAGCATCCTCTTCCTGAGTTTTTTTTTTTAAACTGCAGACTGTTTAGGAATCTCTTGACACATTGAGATCGTTTTTTACCAAGTCTGAAAAACATGCCATAAAAATTTTATGAAGCAGAAAACAAAATATAATCCCAGGACAAATGGCAGGCTTGAATTAGTACAAACGTTTTAGGTCAGAGCTGTTCAGGGGCACCAAACTAGAGCTTTGCTGCTGTGACATGGAACCTGGTCAAAGTCTATTTCTGGCCAGGGCTGTTTGCTTTGGTTTAGATGGAGGAGCAACATGGAAGAAAAACTCCAAATGTAGCACAGTCTTTTTCTGGCCATCCACTTCAAGATAACCACAATTCCTCTTCCTTCTGCCAAAGTCTGTCCCTTTTTGAAGGGAACACATTCAAGTCAACAATTTCCTGCACTGTTGAAGCTATTGTCTAAAATTGGGAGGACTCAGTGTCTAAGTTTTCTACTGTATACAGCTGTCAGCTGTGATGGTCATCAGGTCAGTTCAACTTATATCCCAGAAGTGCAACTTAAAGTTGTGTTTAGAGCAAATAAAACACAAGAAATAAGAAAACTCTGCAGGTCTTGCAAGCAATTTTCAAAATTCCATTCAAAAACAGAAATATGTTTCAATGGAAAACATTAATCCCATCATTTGACAAAAACATTCAAGGATGAAATGTTAAGAAGACAGTTTTTAATAAGTAAATCAGATGCAATAAAAATACACAAAATAAAGAGACTTAAATTAGTATTTCTGTCGAATCAAAAAATGTTTTAAACGTTACTGGTTTAAAAAAAGGTTTTTAGGAATTTATGAGTGACAACTTAAAAATTCATGGAAAGAAAACTTCTCCAACATTTCCTGTGCTGCATAAATTAATAAATCTGGGTGTCATCTGCATAGTGAGGAACATAGAAATCATTTGTCCTGATAATACGAGCAAAAGAAAACATCCTCCATTCAAAAGCCACATGAGTCAATTCCCCGGTGTCAGAGCATAAACCTTTAAAATAATCTCCATTTTGGGTGCTTCTTGTCACTCATAAATCATGAATTAAACAGGTAACAGCCTGCAATTGTGAACTTTCAAAGACAAAGACTGGTCTTCTTAAAACTGGATTCAAAATGTATTGAAAACAATCATCCACACCATTATATTCTGGCACCTGCAATCATGGCACAAAATCACTTTGATCCTCTTTTCTGTCACCTTGTGATGCTGGGGCTGAGCTTCAGCAAGATTCCATCATCAAGTTTAAATTTCTTAATGTATTTAGTTGTTGCCATATGATAGGGCCAGAGTCCGTAAATCTGCCTTGGAGTCGACATGCAGAACAATTGTTTCTGACTTTTTCAAAGTAGATTTTCAGTTGCAACTGAGAACCAGGTCATAGCAAAGACTTGTCACAAAATACAATACAGCAATCCTTGATACTTATTTCATAAACTGTCCAAAGACTTTCCACAATGAAGAAATCAAAGTCATAAGCCTTCAGTGAATTAACACAGAGAGTCAAGACACATTTGATTTAAACACAGAAGATAAAAAGGTCAGATTACACCAGGGAGTGAGTCTTGGCTATTTCCCCATTGTAATGACACATGCTGGACCACAGAAGGGGAAGAAGTATTTTTTTATACCTCAAATTTCAGCTAAGCTCCTACAACTGTGGTTAGTCTGGAATGTAACTACACACAATGAAAATAGCTGCATTTCCATTAAATCATATTTTGCTGTTTTGAGTCCACACACAGGCGCTCTCCAGTGAGCAAGATCGCAAAGGCTGCCATCAGGATTTATAGCAGCTAGTGTCTTCCCACTTGATTGCGTTCATTAAAACATTTCTGCTTTGATTTGTTGGCTGCTACTGAGCAAATGGTCTGGACTTAATGATCCGTGGCATCAAAAGCAGTCATCTGGGTCATTTATTTACTATTTTCAACTTGCAGAGCACATTCTGAAATGGGCTGCAGCAAGTTCCACTTAAATAAATATACTTAATCGTAGCGGTGTCTCAACACTGCTTATTCAGTTATTCACAATGAAATTCCCTGAACAGCTGAGAAAATGTCAACAGGAGTCTCAAAACTGCCAAAGTATATGAAACCTTATCAACAAATATCTGCTGGAAGGATTTCATGATAATTTTCTTACACCTATAATCGTGCCACAGAAGAGGCTCCAAGTTCTGCAAATATAATTGAACTTTAGTTCTTTCTACCTAGTGGGAGTAAAGGTGCAGGTATTGCTTTACGTTTTGTAAACTGAAACGCAGCCCAGACCAAGTTCTGTGTTTACAGTGTCTGTGAAAGCATTTATGAAGATCAGCAGAGTGAAAGTAATATCCTTCACAAGCCAAATTGAACATTTTGTCTTCTTCAGATCCAGGCATACTAACAAGAAGGATCTCTGGAGAATGCAGGGATGCGCTTCCTCCAAGTTCCTTGGTTGGGAGCTGAGATTGATATTAGTTCTGTTTCCCTCTTGTCAGCCAGGGTTGCTGACATAGACAAAGAGATATTGTTTAATTTGGAAAGAAAACATGAAGGCAGTTCTTATTTAAACTAAGCCTTAGTGCAGATGCTGAGCTTGACCCTGAACAATTCACAAAGGAGGAATGGCATTGAATTTTAATCTTAAGAAATGAGTGGCAGTTGTTGAAAACTGATATTCATGGAAGATTTCCTGTCTGATTTTATTCCAATCAGACAGAGCTTAAGGTGATCTGCAAAAAAAATGATGAGCATGTTAGCCTTTCCATGTGGATAATTCCTTTTACATATTATTGAAACAAAGTTGCCAAGTACAAATTTGCAGACTACAAATTTCAAGTTTTTATTCGCAAGTAAAAGTTAAAATGTTCATTTTTCTTTCTGTTTCACAATTATACACTGTATAATTTTCATGAAAAGTTTGATCATTGACACACTGATGTAAAGCCCCATCATTCTGTACAATTTTATATTCTCTGCTGAATCTGGACCTGGACACAATCTGTCATCGTTACATGACAGATTGATCACAGACGTGTTTGTATTTTCTGCTGAAAGCTGATGAACAGTGAAAATATGTAATTTTTTCCTAATGCAAATAAATGTGTCTTTCAGAGTATTATGGTGTCATAAAATGTAAACTATTTAATAAATAATACAAAAGCATGAGGAATGTTCTAACTCTGAAAATA